TCCCTGGGGCGGCAGCGTTCTGGCATGAGCCCCAGGGAGCTGGCGATGGGCCTCCTCTGCTCTCCCTGGGACAGCAGCGCTCGGGCGCAAGCCCCAGGAAGCCGACGACGGGCCTCCTCTGCTCTCCCTGGGGCTGCAGCACTCTGGCGCAAGTTCCATGGAGCCGACAACAGGCCTCCCGTGCTCTCCCTGGGACCGCAGCGCTCCGGCGTGAGCCCCATGGACCCAGCGACGGGCCTCCTCTGCTCTCCTTGGGGTGGCAGCGCTCTGGCGCGAGCCCCATGGAGCCGGCAACGGGCCTCCTCTTGCCTCCCTGGGGCGGCAGCGCTCCGACATGGGCCCCGAGAGGCTGGCAACAGACCTCAGTGCAGAGAGCTGGGGGCGGGGCTTGCTGCCACCGCCATTTGTGCCAGCTCCTGGGCTCCCGGAGCGGTGTTCCGGCATGCTCCGGCCCCAAAAGACCCCTGGAGATATCTATATACTAATTGCCAAAGTCCAATTTGCATGCAGTGGCTCAGAGGTTAAGATGCTGAGCTGCAGACCGGAAGGTCTGTAGCTCGGCAGTTTGAGACCCTAGTGCCGCATGTTGGAGTGAGCTTCCGTCTCTGGCCCCAACTCCTGCCAACCTAGCAGTTTGAAAGCAAGAAATTGCAAGTAGATAAATAGGTACCACTTCGGTGGGAAGGTAACAGCGTTCCATGCGCCTCGCCTCGGAGGAAGTAACATGCATGGAGGAGAGATAGAGAGTAAGAAAAGGGGTGCAGAAGAGGGAAGGAGTGTGAGAGAGGTAGGAGGAGAGGGGAGGAAGGTGATAGGAGTTTCTTGCGGGTCTCTCCACTTGTGTATGTATATATTTAAAAGATTTATATCCGGCCCCTTCCAGAAATGAATTTTGTCCCCTTGCGATTGGGGCATGGGCTTGCTAGGGTTTTGATGGGCAAACCTTTAACTCCTCCTGTTACAATCCTTCACTTACATTATGCACATATAAACTCTGCTTTAAAAAAAAAAAAAAAGATAGGGTACCAGAACTCTAAGCCATAGATTCTTTAAAAAGAAAGAGAGAGACACTCCTGTGCGTGCGTGGTGAATGGCACAGTTCATTTCCAAGTCTGTTTGAGAATCACTGCCATCTCCAGACGGAAGGCACCTCGGCATATCCGGACCTTAATTATACAGCCAGCCAGCCCACATAAAAGGCAAAAAGGGGCTTTACCTCCCCCCCCTTTCCTTCTGACGGAAGGAAAGAGGAAAGGAAGGGGGGCTCGTTCAAGCTTCCTCTGCTCAGAAGTGCATTCATGCAGAATAGAAAGAAGTTTCTTGGACAGGGTGTGCGTGGAGGGAGGATAAGCGTGGTGAGCTCTCGGATGCCAGCTCTCATTAGCTGTGCAAGGTCTGGAGTAGCAGGTTAAGAGGTGCCTCTCCAGGGGTCGCATTCAGCTCTTTGGAGCAGAGGCAGGGGCTTCCGAATCGCCCTTGCGGGACCATGCAGATGGGGACTGGAGTGGGTGGGCCAAGGATGACAGAATTCGTGGGAACGAAATCCAAACTCCCTGTTGTCATCATTCAGTCAAGGAAGCAACTCAGGATGTTAGTCACTGTACCTCTCGGGGGGGTTGAATAGTGAAGCCAGTGGGGACCAAGGAATACAATGCTGTCAAAAAGAGTGGGCATGCAGATCAAGAATGAAGAGGCAATTAAGGCTGGGAAACAGGGGAGAGAAGGGTGAGCTAGCCAGAATTTCTGCCTCTTGGATTTAAAAAAAAAATTTTGCTTTATTTTCTTGCAATGGTAACAGCAGCATTGCCTATTTGTTTTTGCGTTCTCCTCTCTGTTCATCTTCCTCAGGGAAGGGGAAGATTCTGGTCAGGGAGACTGCAGTAGTTCTGCCATTCAAATTCAACCTCAAAAGAAGAGCTGGATTCTGACTGAGGGAGCTCTGACTCTCAAAAGCTTATATCCAACAAATCTCTAAGGTGCTACTGGACTCATACACAGCTGTTCTACTGCAGCTACCCTTTGAAACAAACCTCAAAAGAAAATAGCAAAAAGCCCAGTCGCACCTTTAAGACTAACAAACTTTATTGTAGCACAAGCCTTCGAGAGACACAGCTCTCTTCGTCAGATGCATCTGACGAAGAGAGCTGTGTCTCTCGAAGGCTTGTGCTACAATAAAGTTTGTTAGTCTTAAAGGTGCTACTGGGCTTTCTACTATTTTTCAGCAACAGACTAACACGGCTAACTTCTCTGGATCTCAAAAGAAAATGGGGTTGTGCAAAAAAAACCACAACACTTTAATTTTTCAAGGCTGTCCTACCTTTTCTAAAGCAAGTGGACTGTATACTGCTCCTCCACCCGGGTTAAGTGTGAAGCCTTCTCCTGCAGCAGGGCTCACCAGCCTTGCTGCTCCTCTGCAGACTTTGGGAATTGTCAGAAAGGATACTGGACAACGACACAAAATGGCTGCCACAGGCCGAGCACAAATCGGCTGTTGCATGGGCTATGCCGGTCTCAAGATGTTGTGGGGCTACAAGGAGAAGCTTCCAAGCCCATAGATACGAAAATCCAGGGCTTTTTTGTAGAAAAAGCCCAGCAGGAACTCATTAGCATAATAGGCCACACCCAACAGCAGAACCCTATTAGCATATTAGGCCACAACTCTGACAGCACAGCTCATTAGCATATTAGGCCACACCCCACATGTTATCAGAAGTGTGGTCATTCAACCACACCCACCTTTTGCTTCTTATTCTGTTTACTTTGTTGTCAAAACCCAGGGCCTTTTTTTGTAGCAGGAACTCCTTTGCATGTTAGGCCACACACCCCTAATGGGACTCTTGGATAATAAAAAATGGGATTGTCAAGAACATTCTTATGGGATCGTTGGGTGACAGTGAGACTTCCCTATTTGAAAATTGCCAGACAGCACAAGAAATGTTTAGAAGAGTCTGTTGGGTTTACTAGTACTAAATCACAAGGAATATGGATAAGAAAACTTTGCAAAACAGGGTTACATAACAGAGAACATTTTGAAAAAAATATATAAAGCAGGTGTTTGAAAATCTAGTCATCTGTGGCTTTAATCTAACTGATGAACCAAAGGCAAACTTTATACTTGTGACTTTGGGGAAAGATCTTTCTGTGTTTGTGAGTGTGCAGAGTCAAAGCCAAAAGAAAGGCACAGACAACAGAATTTAGTCTGCAAACTGCAGAAGAGACTGTATGGACTAAAACAGGCAACGTGCCTGGAATGAAAAATTACACACAGTGCTCATAGTGCAAGGCTTCAAGCCAGGAGAAGTCGATTCATGTCCGTACACCAAACACAAAGATGGATATTGTACTTTTATTCTGGCATGCGTTGATGACTTGATTCTGGGTTATGACAGACAACTAGACTATAACAGTGGGGTAGAGTACCTAAACAGAGAAAAAGAAATTAAGGAGCTAGATGTTTCTTACTCCTTGGGCATACAAATTGTAAGGGAGGAAGATGGTTCATTTCTCTAAACCAGAGACAGAAAAAGTGCTACGGACACTAGGTCTAGAAAATGCCAACACAGTGGTAACATCTATGGAAACTGACTTTCTTAAAAACACCAAAAATAAATGAGCCGTTTCCTAAAGACAACCAGTACAGAACCATCATAGGAAAACTTTTATACCTAAGCACCACTAGCAGACCCAATATTGCAACCAGCGTTGGGATCCTTAATAGAAAGACAAGTATACCTAGCAAGAAAGAGTGGGCTGCAGTAAAAAGAGTTAGATAGGTATCTAGAAGAAATGTCATATTGAAACTAATATTGCCATCTGCCAATAATCCAAAATTAGTTGGTTACATGGATGTAGATTGGTCAGGAGACAGCTTAGACTATAAATCCACAATTTGGTACTTGTTCCTGTATGGAGGTAAACCAGTCTCCTGGGACTCCTTGAAGCAAAAGGAGCTACTGGAATCATAGAGGAAGAAAAACCAACAGAGAAAGACAAGGAATTAGACTCTTGGATAAAAACACCAAAATAAATGAGCCTTTACCGAAAGGCAACCAGTACAGAACCATCATAGGAAAACTTTTATACATAAGCACCACTAGCAGACCCAATATTGCAACCAGCATTGGGATCCTTAATAGAAAGACAAGTATACCTAGCAAGAAAGAGTGGGCTGCAGTAAAAAGAGTTAGCTAGGTATCTAAAAGAAATTTCATATTGAAACTAATATTGCCATCTGCCAATAATCCAAAATTAGTTGGTTACATGGATGTAGATTGGGCAGGAGACAGCTTAGACTATAAATCCACAATTTGGTACTTGTTCCTGTATGGAGGTAAACCAGTCTCCTGGGCTAGTAGAAAGCAAACTACATTTAAGTTTGTATTCCACAGAGTCTGAGTAGATTGCATCTGCTGAAGCCTGCAGAGAACCGTTACGGCTAGACCAGTTACTAAAAGACATTGGAGTTTATGAGCAAAAGCCAAATCGATTTAAAGACGACAACTAGAACGGCACTGAGATCTCTCAGTCAGGAAAAATCACTGCACGCACTGAGAACATTGGTGTGAAGTTTCACTTAATGTGTGATCTAACCGAGAAGGGCATAATAGAGATTGAGTCCTGTTCAACAGAAGAGATGGTGGCCGACATCCTGACCAATCTATCAAGAGACAGCTTTTTTGAAAAACTAAGAGATAAGCTGAAAATTGAGAACTCTTGCATGCAACATTAAGGAGTGCCAGGTATTGTAACTCTGCATGCAAGAGGATCTGGGAGAGAAAGGCTTAAGAGAATTCTCTCACTTGGGTACACCTGGCAGTCGGCCCCACCCTCTCCTCGGTTAGATGTTGAGCCTCTTTGGCCTGTGCCTGCCTTCTGTTTTCATCCTATATAGGACCTTCTCTCTCTTACCTGGGCTTGGAGCTGAAGCAAGTTAACATTTTTGAAGTTAATCTGTTCACAATGTGTTAAATGTACCTACATGAGTAGGTCATGCAAGACATGCTTCTGTTTTTGTAAGTAAAATTTCTTTCTCTAATTACCATTGGAATCAGGTCATCTTTGTAATTTGTTTGAACAGCATTTTCGCCTTAACTGGGAAACACAGAGGATTGGCGAAACCGCATAAAGCTTCTGTGCTTCCAATTCAAATGATTTTTCTTTACATTTAACCCAACAAAGAGGGTGTTTCTGATATCTGGCCCTTTATTCCTGCAGGAAACCTGAATTATCCAGCCCAGCTGACATGAATTCACACAAGGTATGCAAAAAAAAATGTATTCCCTTGTGCGTAATTCCCAGCTAATATCAAAAAAAATTTGTAGAGACGCCCTATATGGAAAAGGGGGGTAGGAGTCCTTTAGTTCCCTCTAAGCTGCACTAGGGGGCACTGGCACACAACATTTTAGCTGGCAGCGCAGGGAACTTAGACTTAGCTGGCAGCCCAGCCTACAAGTGAACTGACATAGGCATTTTCCCTTCCATTGGAAACGATGGAGGATGGGGGCACCTCCTTCTGGGGCCCACAGAATTGGACCCCCTGGTGGAAATGGGAATGGGTGAAGTTTGACTTGATTCTGTGTTCTCTTATAATGTTTAAATTATTCTTAACATATAGTTTAAATATAATTTAAAATAATTTATTTCCATTTCACTGTATCTGAGGAAGTGTGCTTGCACACGAAAGCTTATACCTTGAATAAAACTTTGTTGATCTTAAAGGTGTCACCGGACTCAAACTGTTCTTCTATTTACACAGTTCACATAACTTTAGAGTAGAAGCAAATATCTACCTAAATTCAGTATTTAATAAATTTCCCCAATTTAGAGTTTTAAAAATCTCACCATTTCAGTTTTTGACACAGAGAGTATTCTATCTTTCTGTGTTATACCTCTGAGGATGCCAGTCACAGGTGCTGGTGAAACGTCAGGTACTACAATGCCAAGACCATGGCCATACAGCCCGGAAAATCTACAACTAATGAACTCCAGCCGTGAAAGCCTTGACAACATATCAGTTTTTGTTATCTGATAAAACTCAGCGTTTGAACCTGTTAGTCAGACTGCTGATCCAGTTCACTTAACACTCTTTATTAGTGGTGGTGCCAAGATCTCAGGCAGAGAAAGTACCCCACCCAAAGTCCCCCACCCACACCACCAGTTTGAGATTGTAGGAACTGAACCCAACACCCTTTCATATAGAAAGCATGCACTCTACCACTGAACTCAAGTGCTATTTTGAGCTCCCATTTTTAAGCATGCCATCTTGGGTTATAAATTGTAATCAAGCCAACTTCATGTCTTCTAACAACACACAAAGCCTCTAATTAAGACAAAGACGGTCCTTCCTGTCAGACCGGATGTCTAAATGAAACCGCCCCCTCCCTTTAGAGAACGGACCCAACCTACAGTAGAACACTCTTGCCAATTAAATTCCATTGGATAGCAACAGACACATGTCAGTGGGTTCTGCTCAGTTACTTACCGCTGCTGTAGACAGTGCCTTTCCCGGGACATCACACCCCCTCCGCAGGTGCGGGAGCATGTGGACCAAGAGCTCCATTCCCCCCACCACTTGGTCACCTCTTCATTCCAGGTTCCACCTCCATCCACCGCCTCACTACTGTCCTGACAAAAACAGGGAATGGTTAGCTTAAGAACTCCCAGCTCGCTTCTGTTACCTTGCTTCCTCTTTACTATGCACCCCTTACAGCCTTTGAATTAAAAAAAACCCCTAAATTCTGCAAAACACATTTTTAATCTGGTCCAAACTAAAATGTGCAACTTGACCACGCCTACTCAAACAAAGCAGGTTTAGCTAAATACTGGCCCCGGTCACATGGAGAATTTGCCGCGTGAAAGGCACGAATCCTGGGTGGATTTTCGGGGCATGATCACACCGCAACATCTGGGAAGCGTAGCGCACTCATGGCCAACCCGTGACGTGCCGCCGAAGATGCGCAGTTAAAAAGTACCTGCAAAGATCTACTAGCAAATGGTTTGCCATGGGCTGCAGATGGACTCGTTTGGTGTGATTGCGCCGGTGCGCACCTATTCCCTCTGGCCGTCCTCTTTGCAGCGTGCGCCGAAGGACGAAACCCTGGTGCGCCACCGTTGCGTCTGATCGCAAAATGGCGGATCAGAATGCGATGGCGCAAATAGCCACGCCTCTCCCCCCCGCGCGTTTTCCGGCATGTGTGTCCAGGGCCACTGTAATATATTTTGTATGCAAGGACCTGTGTGAGAGAGCTGGTGTAGAGCAGGGGCTGGAGTGCTGAACTAGGCGCTGGGAGACTCTGGTTCAAATCCGCCTTGTCATTCACGGGATGACTTCGGCCTGTTCACTCTCTCTCAGCCTAACCTTCCTTGCAGGGTGGTTGTGAGGGGAAAAATGCAGGAAGGGGAGAAATGGAGGAGATGAACCTATCCTGAGTACAAATAGTTATGGCCACATCCCCATGGAAATTTGCACCAGATGGTGATCAAAACACTGTAAATCCTTTTTTCAGACACAAGCATGCCTTCAGGTTTTGTGTGTTGTTGTTTTTTTGCGGGGGGGGGGATGTCTCAGGTTTGGGAAATGAAACAGAGCGGTCTGTCCTGGCTTTGTTTGGAAAGGCACAGTCCTCTATCTGAAGGGCGGAATGCTCCCCCCCCCCGGGGGTGAGGAAGTGGCAGAGAGTTTCTTCATAAGCTTCTGAGAAACAGGAACACAATGGGTTTGGTGACCCATAAAATCTGGGAGCCCGTGGGGGAGGGGGTGGATTGAAGTGAACTCCCCCCCCCTACTTCCGCCATTTATAATGACAGAGGTGGTGCTTGTCTCTGAATGGGTGTTCTGTCATAATGAGAAGGGCTTGATGGGGAGGGGGAGTGTTACAGCTGCAGGGAGACAAGTGTTATTAAAGAGCACAGAGCTCTAATTAGAGCTTCTCTGTCAGGTCAGAAGGTGGTTCTCGGCCTCCCCCAGCAAATGCCACATGAATGCCCCCCCCCCCACATGCCCACCTATGCTTGAGGGTAAAATCGGAGAAGCAAGGATGGAGCAGGCTAGGTAGGGCTGCCAACTCCGGGTTGGGAGATTCCTGGAAATTTGGGGGTAGAGCCTGCGGAGGGACATCAGTAGGGTATTGCAACACAGACGCCACCCTCCAAAGCAGCCATTTTCTCCAGGGGAACTGATCTCTGTAGCCTGGAGATTAGCTGAAATTTCGGGAGAACTCCAGGCTCCACCTGGAGTTTGGCAACCTCAGGCCAGGAGTTTCTTCTGTTTACGAATAGAAAAGAGGGGGGGTATTTTTTTTAAAGAACTTATCATGCCTCTGGCAAGAGGAAAATGAATATCTGTAACATTAGACTCATCCCAGCCAAACACGGCTGATGCATGTGAATTAGGATGCCCTGGCATTTGGATTGTTTAGTGGGCACAGGGCCGGCTCACCCACTAGGCGAACTAGGCATTCGCCTAGAGCGTCGGGCCCTGGATGGGGTGCCAAGCTGTGCCTCCCCCCCCCTCCCCCCCGGCAGTGGCGGCAGCAGCAAAAGGGTGGCTGGCTCCAGAGGTCTCCAGGTCTCCAGGCCCCACCGGGAGGTTGGCATCTGCGCCATAAGGCAGCCTCGCCTAGGGCACAGAAACACCTCGAGCCGGTCCTGAGTAGGCAAGGTTGGGGGGAGGAGAGGAAACAGAAAAGGCAGCCATTTTGGCTTGAGTGCCCAAAAAAACACAGCACCTGTGAAGATGCTGGGGTGCCATCAACAAAGGGGAGGAGAAAATAAGGGATGTATTTGACCAGCAGCTCAGAGCCCTGCTTTGCCTCCCTAGCTACAAAGAGGCCGTAAAAGACATTGTCTTTTCCTGCATTGCTGGCCTCCCTCCCTCCACATCCCTGCCGGCAACACCTCAGGGGCTTGGCCTATTGATTTGGGCTGAGAACCCGCCCCATGCGCTGAGCAAAACTGTTGGGTATGCCCTCATTTGGCATGCGGGTTGCGGGCTGCCTACCCTTGGTCTGGTGCTCCAAAGGTCATGTGGCAGTGAGGAAACTTCACATCAGCTAATAGATCCTGTATGTGAATTCCCCTTACATCCATATAATGTTGCTGTACCACTCCCACCCAAGCCAGAATCTCTTGTGGGGATTCAGAGGATGATGGGGAACATCCAGTGGCCCCAGCATCTTTGGCAACGTTGTAAAAGATCCTACAGGGCACACCTCTCATGCTGTGGTGGCAGCCCTGTATGTGAACAATGTCCACACGGTGCCCTAGTATACTCACAAAGGGATTATGAACAGTCCATTCTATTTATTTACTTCATTTATACCGCACTATTCTCCGTAACGTGACCCAGAATGGCTTACATTGTTCCCTCACAACAGCCCTGTGAGGTAGATCATGCTGAGAGAGAGTGACAGGGCCAATCTTGCCCAGCAAGCTTCCATGGCGGAGTGGGAATGTGAACCTGGGTCTTCCAGATCCCGCTGGGACTTCAGTATACCACACTGGCTATAATGCCTTAGGCCACTGCTTTATGCATATTATCCTTACTTATATTTAGGATCTAGATCATTAGACTTCACTTCTCAAACAGTATCCTTTCAAAATCTCACCAAGGGAGAGCTTTCAGACAAACTGGATTTTGCTCTTCCTAAACCGTAAATTCAAATTTGCTTTCAAGCTGCATGTTAGCTTTTTTATTCAGCATTGGTCGTCTTAAGATGTCCTGGTATTAACAGTATTTGTACATGTGACCCGCGAGTCCAAGAAGTTGGACTAGCGTTTTTAATGCCCTTTGCCACATGGTAAGGTAAACGAGCACTGAATGGGGTTATCATCAGCAAGGGGACAGAGAAGAGAGAAATGCTTGAGAGGAAGGCAGTTTCCTTTTCTGATCTCCTCCTTTGGGGAAATTAAATAGTGGAGGGGGTGGGCTGGCCATCTTCAGCAGTTCACCCACTCCATTCTTAGTTAACCGGTGGGATGGGGGAGAAGAGTACTATCAAACCAGACGGTGCGCTGGGAGACCCATGTCTTCAGCTCCCCGCGATATTTAATCTGAATTTCCCCCCCTTTAATCGCTGGGAGCTCCAGACACGGATCTTCCAATGCACGTCTGGTTTTGATACATCCCCTCTCTTTCCAGGGGACGCAGCACCAAAGCGCCTGCCTGGACTCGTATTCTCTCCCCGCAGAGGCAAGAAGCTTCGGTGGCTGCCTCCGGATGCGTCGCTCCTTGCAAAGCTAACTGGGGAGCCAGGCTTTTTTGAAGGCGCCTTTCCGAGGGAAGCAACAGCCCACCCCGGCCTGCGCCTTCCTCCCCACCCCACTGCCTGCCTCCTTACCTTAGCGCGCAGGGCACAGGCCAGCAGCAGGAGCAGCGCCGGCGGGGCGAGGCGCCGGCGGCCGGAGAAGGCGGGAGGCGCGGCCATGGTGCGCTCTAGTGCTCCATGGGCAGGAGCAGCGAGGAGGCGACGGCGACGGCGAGAGAGGTAAAGCCCCGGCGGCGGCACCAGCAGCCGCCTGAGCGCAAACCTGCATGGCCGAGTAAGTAATTAATGACTTTCCAACCTGTTGGGTGGCGGCGAGAGCGCGGCGCGACCCTGCGGCTCCCGGGCGGGCTGTGATTGACAAGGCGACCTGAGAGCCACCCAAACACGCGGCCGGGGGGGGGGGGGGGGGCGCGTCCGCCCGGAACGACGTGCCGGCCTCCCTCTTCAAAGGAGACAAAAGGAGCCGGCCTTCGCAGGATCCTTCCCACAGCACAAGCTGCCTGCCCCTCCGGAGGGAGGGGAGGGGAGGGGAAGGGGGGGGAGAGACATCCGTTGCGGCTTGGCCCTGCGGGATCGGCCGCTTGGCCGTGGAGCCTCTGAACGAGAGCTTCCAGAAGGAGACTGAAAAGTGAAGTCTGTTTGCAGAGGCAAAAGCGGGCAACCTTTCCGAGTTAAGCAGAGCTTCCCGTCAGCAGTCTCTCTTTCCTTGCACGCTGAAGTCTAGGGGGTATACTTGTCCCAACATAGGACTGAGTTCGGACCTGAGGGAAAATGTATATGACGCAGGTGATATGACAGGGAGGGGGAGCAGTGTGGTGGTGGAGGCCTGATCAAGACGAAATAGTAGGGTATCGATTAAGAGGGGGCATAACACAGGCTTTTTGAAAGTGTATATGTTTCGTGCCTGAATAATATACAGTCGGTTGTGCAGAAAACGCACCAGCAGTAAAAAAAAGTGGACTGTGTCGCATTAAATTTTACACCTCTGTCTTTCTGTCCCGTCCTTACCTAAGCAGAGTTTTCCATTCTTCTGGTCTGCTGATACTTCTAGGGAAGCAGTGTGGGCTCAACACATGAATACACAATGCTAGATTTCAGAAGCACTAATAAAAAGTCTTGTGGCACATATAAGGCTAACAGATTTTTGAAGCATAAGCTGTCATGGGCCGTAGCCCCGTTCTTCAGATGCATGAAGTGAAAACCTCAGTCACCAGAATATATATACAGCAGAAGGAAAGGGGAAAAAAACATAAAAGTGAATGTAGGATATACCACCAGCATCCCTGCTCCTTCCTTCCTTCCTTTCATGGAGTGCCCACAATACAAGAACTCGTGGGCACTCCATGAAACTGCAGAGCGGTCGGGTTAGAACGGATAAAAGGAAGTACTTCTTCACCCAAAGAGTGATTAACACATGGAATTCACTGCCACAGGAAGTGGTGGGTGCTACAAGCATGGACGGCTTCAAAAGGGAATTAGATAAGCATATGGAGCAGAGGTCCATCAGTGGCTATTAGCCACAAGGTATGAAAACCTCAGTCACCAGAATATATATACAGCAGAAGGAAAGGGGAAAAAAACATAAAAGTGAATGTAGGATATACCACCAGCATCCCTGCTCCTTCCTTCCTTCCTTCCTTCCTACAATGTTGGAGTTCCATGATAAGATCCCGCATCTCATTAAGCTTCTCGAAATAGAAGCTACCGAGCAGTATACAAAAGTCATAAAACACAATTAAAAATCCATAAAGCAACAATGGAAAGAAAATACAACACAGTCCATGCTGATATGTCAAAAGACTCACTGTTGAGCAGCCATTAGTTAAACCAATGCCAGACTGAAAAGAAACCGTTTGCATCCCTTATGTGAAGTAAGAAAGGACGGAAGGAAGATGGTTCCATTCTCTCGCCTCAGTAGCAATGCTCCCTCTAAGCTGTGGAGTCTTGTGAGCAAAAATTCTACTTTGTGAGCCACTGGCATTAAAGTTGTGAGTGAGCGATTTGGCAGCTGCAGAAATTAGTTTGCTCTGGAGCCATCCTTCCTGAGCTAAGACAAAAAGGTGTGAGCTGGAGGCTAAAAAACTGTGAGCTAGCCCACACTAACTCAGCTTAGAGGGATCACTGCTCAGTAGTCAGACTGCTTAGGTGTTGGTGATCTTTTGTTTCAATCAGTTGGGCAGCCGGTGCAAGCATATGGCCAATGTAACTTATAGCAGTTGTTCTTAACTGGTGGGATGCAGAAGTAGTCTAGGTGGGTTTTCATAACAGTTCCTAGGAATCCACTCCCCTTCAACCCCATGGCTACCTGCAAGGAGATCATGCCCACTCCTGCTGACCTTTCCTGCTACAGGTTATCCATCTTGAGACGGTGGTTGAGTCTGTTTGACTGCGTGTTGTACCATGAAGGATGACACAAGAGGATTATGCTAAAGAAGGTTGCAGATGCACCAGGAGTAGCGGCTTCCTGCAACTGCCAGAGATCAGACGTAACATTGATTGTAGGTACCTTTGTTAGCAACCGAGTTTTTCTTTATTTTAACTTAGTGTGCCTTGATTCTGTCCTTTGCAATACCTTGAATTTGTGCCTTGTAGAAATAGTTCGTTTAACTCCAGAGAGTCTGCACAAGTCCTCACCCCCCTGCCTGCTCACTTGGCATGCTACTGAGGATGAACACCGAGGTGGTAAAAAGTGCCATTAAGTCGCAGCTGACTTATGGTGACCGGTGTTCCCTCTAAGCTGAGTTAGTGTGAGCTAGCTTGCAGGTTTTTTAGCCTCTGGTTCACACTTTTTTGTCTTAGTTCAGGAAGGATGGCTCCAGAGCAATGTTCCCTCTAAGCCATGGAGTCTTCTGAGCAAAAATTCTACTTTGTGAGCTACTGGCATTAAAGTTGTGAGCGAGCGATTTGGCTACTGCATAAGTTAGTTTGCTCTGGAGACATCCTTCCTGAGCTAAGACGAAAAGGTGTGAACCAGAGGCGAAAAAACTGTGAGCTAGCTCACACTAACTCAGCTTAGAGGGAACAGTGCTCCAGAGCAAACTAATTTATGCAGTAGCCAAATCACCTGCTCACATCTTCAATGCCAGTAACTCACAAAGTAGAACTCCATAGCTTAGAGGGAGCATTGATGGTGAACCCGTAGGGTTTTCATGACAAGAGACTTCCAGAGATGGTTTGCCCTTGTCTGCCTCCGCATCACACCCCTGGTTTTCCTTGGAGGTTTCCCATCCACCCAAAGTAGCCAGGTCCGACCCTGCTTATCTTCTGAGATCTGTCGAGATTGGGCTAGCCTGGGTTGGATTTTACCCAAAGTGGTGGTGGTGACAGTAAAGGGGAGCGAAACAGTGGCTAGTCTGTCACAGGGGTGGGGTTGACCATTTGGTCATCCATCTGGGACCTTTGGGCATTTTAGAAGTAACAGAATGCTTGTAAATATATAAAGGTCATGGGGGGGGGGAAGTAGACTTTTCATCTCTGTCGTGGTTCTTTGATAGAGTGGTGGGATGTAAGATACAGAAGGTTTAGAACCAGTAGGACATAAGAACATACAAAGAGCCCTGCTGGATCAGGCCAGCAGTCCCTCTAGTCCAACATCCTGTTTAATGCCATTTACCGTGGAGGGCCAAAAAAACAGGACACAGAGGCCAAGGCCTTCCCTTGATGTTGCCCCCTAGCACTGGTGTTCAGAAATTTCCTGCCTCTGAATACAGAGGTTCCCTTAATTCCCTGTGCCTGGTAGCCATTGATGGACCTCTCCTCCATGAAGCTGTCTAATCCCCTTTTAAAGCCTCTCTGTGTGTGTGTGCTTTAGTTGGAATGCATGTTTGAAGTCGCACCCCACTTGAAACATCCCCATTGAAAAAGAAGATGGATTTTTGTTTTCAGTGTGGAAACGGAAGAGCTCTGCGTCGCATGAATGCAGCTCTCGTGGCATCAAGTGAGCATAGACGTCTCAGTGGCTCACTTCAAGGAGGGCAAAAGTACTTGCTTGAAGGAAGGTTTCAGAGCCATTGATTTTTTTTTTTTACCATAATATTTTATTAGATTTTAACTTAGAACATAACAAATAAAAACAGGTTCTCAAACAACATCTTAACAATTTTTCATATATATGTCAGTGTGTATACAGACTTCCAATTTGACTTACTCAAATACTGATAAAAGTTTGCTAGCTTATTAATAACAATGAGTATTGTGCTGCACTAATCGCTTTCCAATCAAAAGACTCAAAGGTTAACTTATCCACAATCGGATACCATTTACCAGTTGGATTCATTAGTTCACATTCAGAGCCATTGATCAGGACCCCAAAGACTCTAGCATTCCTAGCTCCTTGAGCTAGACCCCCACCAATGCTCCCTCTAAGCTGTGGAGTCTCGTGAGCAAAAATTCTACTTTGTGAGCCACGGGCATTACAACTGTGAGCAGGCCATTTGGCTACTGTGCAAATTAGTTTGCCTTGGAGCCATCCTTCCTGAGCTATGACAAAAAAGTGCGAGCCAAAGGCTAAAAACTGTGAGCTAGCTCACACTAACTCAGCTTAGAGGGAACACCCACCCCTCTTACTGGGGTCTGTGCCACCATCCGTTTGCTGGACTTACATCCCAAACAACCAGTCCTCAAGTGTCAGGGCTCTGGGGTTTGAGCAAAGAAGCTCATGGTGAGCTGAGGCTAGAAATCTGTGCATGCTCAGTCCTTGGAGCTTTCTACGGGTGCTGGTGGGGAGAACCAATGAGCGTTGCTGGCCCTTTAATTGGCAGGCTGGTTGGTGCTGGGGGAACTAGGATCCTATGTTCCTATTATTCAGGGGAGCCAAGCTCCTGACTGTGCTGTGGACCCCTGGTGGCGGTCCGTGTACATAGCACTCCTCCCCTCATAGATCAGACCCACCGATGTGGCGTAGTCTTGCAAGTAGGCGGGGGGTCAGCGCTCTCGGAGGGAATGCCTGGGGGCCGGTACTGGTTCGCTTGCTACCGGTTCTGGTACTCGGACGACGACATGAGTTTGCACACGTAGTTCTGGTACTCGGACGACAACATGAGTTTGCACACGTTTATTGTACTTAACACAAGACTAACTAACGGCCTGACACGGCCAACTATATACATACCCACCAGGCAACCCCTAGTTCCATTGGAGGGTTTGAATTTCCCGCCAAA